TTTTTTTTTTTTTTTTTGTTAATATGCTCTATTGTGTGGCATAGGGATGGGTTTTTTTCTTCAGCCTACTCGGCATTACTCCACTGGCCGAGCGGCTGGGTTATGCTACCGAGTAAGTATTAAAAAATGGAGTTTGTTTATTTTTGCATTTGTTTTAACAAATGTTTGTAATCTCCTTTCATTTTTTTGCTGCAGGCAACTAGCGTGTTATACAGGCCCGACTGGTATCACACGGTTTTCACGTCTCGCTTGTTACTATAATTTTCTGATGGATTTAAATTTTGTCTCCTTAATATCTTTAAGGATTTTTTGAAGAGCTTGTTGAAACCTGCCAAAACATCAATTTTTCGATGTTGAATGTGGAGCTTTTTTTTTCCTTGCTTATATATTAAAGAATTAAATCCCTTAATAAAAATACAATCTTTAGTTGAGAATCAATATCCTTGAAGTCTCGGTAAATCATTTCATTTCTTATACAGCCTACGCTTAAAGTTTTCTGATACCAATATACTCTATTTCATTGTTTGATCTGCAGTTGGTGGCCTTCTTAATGCGACATTTGGCAATGCCACTGAGATGATAATTTCAATGTACGCATTGAAAAACGGAATGATTAGAGTTGTTAAGCAGTCTTTGCTAGGTTCCATCTTGTCTAACATGCTTTTAGTGCTTGGATGCGCGTTTTTCTGTGGCGGGATTGTTCATCATCACAAAGTACAGATTTTCAATAAGGTGATGGATCATCATCCAAAAGGGATATTTTTGGATTGAACTTTTCCGAATAATTATGAAATATCTTTAAAGTTCAATCGTATTTTCCATAACTCCACCGTATTTCAAATTCTGTTTTGTCTTTATGTCAAGGGTGCACTTATAATGTAAACGAGGTCACTGATTTTTTTATTTTTTATTTTTTTATTTTTTAGGCCACTGCCCTTGTGAATTCAGGATTGCTGTTAATGGCTGTTATGGGATTATTGTTTCCAGCTGTTCTGCACTTCACTCATACAGAGATTCACAAGGGCAAATCAGAGATTGCGCTCTCGCGAGTTAGCAGTTGCATAATGTTGATAGCTTATGCTAGCTACCTTTTCTTTCAGCTCAAGAGCCAAAAGCTGTATAGTTCTCTTGACGAGGTTTGTGTGTGTCTGTTTATCCACATATTGTGTTATAAATTGAGAAATATGTAAACATTCACATCTTCTAGGGTTATGTACAAAAAAGTACCCCAAGGTTTCCTATAATAACAAAACGAAAAAAATAAAAATAAAAATAAAAGAGAGATCGACCATATTTTGAAATTCCAATCACCATTGCATGCTTATTGGGGGTGTTTGTCAAGATAAAACAATTCCCGGGTATGTGGGTATGTGTCTGTAATTTCATAACAATATTTTTAAGGTTGGACAATAGTAGGTAGTGAAATGCTATCCCATCTTAACATTTTTTTTTTTTTAATATTATTATTATTATTATTATGGCAAAAATGCTTTTTTAGTACTGTTGGTTTAACATCATAGCAATTTCAGTCCCAAATTCCAACTTTTCATCTTTTTGTCCTGAGAATTAATATTTTGCTGCAATTTCAGTCATAATTGCAACAAAATTGTAAATTACAGGATTGAAATTGCACAAAATATTAAATTACAGGATTTAAATTGCTAATAAAAAAATCTGGGAATTTGAAATTGCAGCAAAATATTAAATCGACGAAATATTGGAACTGTCTAAAATTGCTATGGCCTTAAACCAACAAGGATTAAAGATGCAATTTTGCCTATTATTATTATTATCCCATCTTTTTTGTTTGGAATGTATGTCCTATGATGATAGCTCGTGCACAAGTATCACATGCATTTGCATCTACAATCAACTATTAAGCATTTGTATAGAACTAACTTTATCTGTAACAATGCTACATGCTACAGTCAAATGAGAATAACGATGAAGGTT